TTTTCCTTCTGTAATTCCAGAATTTAGGAAATGACCCCAAAGGAATCCAGGCATGGGGGTGAGGCTGACGGTGCTCAGGGTCTTAGGACCAGTGTATCTGTCTCGTGCACTGAGCTATGTCCTTCGTTTCTTGTCCTGTTCTTTCTTTCTTTTTTTTTCAAATTCTTTTTTATTTTGACAATCTTTACATAGTTAATTTGGGTAAAAAGGGTCAAGGGCTACAGGAAAGTGGGTAAGACTATTATTTTCATATTATTTTCTTCATGTATCTGAGGTAAAGGGGGATATTGAGGGAGAAGCCCCACCCGGTTTCCCACCCACCCCAAGTCCCGCATGTGGGGCATGCTCTGAGATACTCATTGAAGTGGTTTCAATAGTTCACCAGTTATGAATTGCTGCCAATCTCATCTCTCCAAACACGATGAGGTCGTTGAAAAATCCACTGATTGACATTGTCCATCATAGCGTCTCTATTTGCCCGGTATTTTGTTGCCAATCTATAGCTGAGGTAGTTGATTAACTTGTTCCATCTTCTGTCCTTTCATGGTTTGGGTTCTGAATCTGGCATTTCAATTGGGGAAATCACCAAAGAAACTTCATCTGAGGTGTTCCCAGGCCAGATTCTTGCATGCACCAGCAAGTACAGGGCCCAGCACAGTTCATCACCCCAGTCAGCTGGTAGTTGCAATTGCTGAGTTGGTTCTGTTTTCTGCCCCGCCTTCCACTGGAACCAATGAGTGTTGCAGTCCAGACTGGTTCTGCACAGTGCATACTTGGCCCTTACATAAACCAGTGGGAGCTGCAGCCTGGTGAGAGCGACCCACAATAACCCCCACCAGGCCCGCCCCCTACCCTGGTTTGCCAGTATGTGTAGCAGACCAGTCCAGTCTGTCCCACATCCCCCTTGGCTCTCATACATGGCAAATGGCATTGAAGCTTAGATCCATCTAACCAGCTCAACAATCAAGCCCTCACTGGCGTTGTTGAGTGCCTCTCTGTCTAGCCACCCCAGCCCCTGTCCTAGTTTTTGTGCCCTCTCATGGGAGTGGTAACCCAAGAGGGGGGAACCCATTATTTCCCTCCCAGGTCTCTCACTCCCGGATTGTGCACTTTCCAGGTGGTTCTATAGTTTAACTTGACAGAATTAGCCCCAGTGCTAGTTTCTGCCAGCTGATGATGCGGCTATCCCCAAACAACCCTCGCCCACTCTAATTGTAGGTTGCACCCATAGGAATAATCAGCCCAGCCTGGCTTTTCCCTGATCTAGTCCACATGAGGTGTACAGGTGTTGTAGCCCTGCTTAGTCTGGTCTGCCCCCATCCCAGTTCATGCTCTCCAATGGCGTCCTGTTCTTTCTACACTGTGCACAATAACTATGGCTTACCTTTATAAAATGTCTCACAAAAAAGAGGAAAATTTTGCATACATGAGGCATTTGGAAATACAGAAAATTAGAAAAAAATGTGCTCATTACTTAAATGTAAATATGATCAGGCCTGGCGTGATAAGCATAGTGGTTAAAGTTCTCATCTTGCACACACTGGGATCCCATATGGTCGCCAGTTCTAATCCCGGCAGCTCTACTTCCCATCCAGCTCCCTGCTTGTGGCCTGGGAAAGCAGTTGAGGACGGCCCAAAGCCTTGGGACCCTGCACCCGCGTGGGAGACCCGGAAGAGCTCCTGGCTCCTGGCTTCGGATTGGCACAGCTCCATTCATTGCACTCACTTGGGGAGTGAACCGTCAGACAGAAGATCTTCCTCTCTGTCTCTTCTCCTCTCTGTATATCTGCCTTTCCAATAAAAATAAATGAATCTTTTTTAAAAAGTATGATCTTTGTAAGCTTTTAGTACATTTACTTTAGTTTCATGTCTCTACAGCTGGAAGTTTGATTCAACTCATTGGTCAGTTTTTTCTCCATAAATATATGATATGTTAGTAATCACATCTTGATGCATTATAAAAATTCTATACATCCTGTGTTACCTTCTCTCTGTCTTCACCTGTAGTTGCTGCTACCTATGCATTGCCCAAAAAGTCCCATCTGGTTGACAGCTATCACTGTGACAGGAGATGAAAACCAAAACTCCTCCTCAACACATGCATCGCTGGTAGTACCTTTATTTATTTTGTATAGTGACTAAGGCTGTGTATATTCATTCATTTTCTATAAAGTTATTATGTAAAAGACAGAGTTACAGAGAGGGAGAGAGAAAGAGGTCCAGGCTAAAGCCAGGGACCGGAGGTTCATCCAGGCCTGCCACATGGGTGCTGGGATCTGAGCCATCTTCTACTGCTTCCCAGGCACACTAGCAAGGAGCTGGATCAGAAGTGGAGCAGCCAGGAATTTGAACTGGCACCCATATGGAATGCCAGAGCATCAGATGGCAGCTTAACCCCAGCCCCACAGTGCCAGCCTTTATATATTCATTCATTTAACAAGTGTTTGTTAATTGCCTTCTTCATGCAAGCCAGTTTTCCCTTCAGTAAGCATGCAGAGATCAAAACAGGAGCCAAGAATTCCATCCCTGTGTCCTATGTGACAGGGACTGTCATCTGCTCTCGTCACATGTATTAGCAGCAAGCCAAATAGGAAACAGAGCCGCCACGACTTGAGCTGCCACTTCAGTATGAGACGAGATGTGGGCACCACAAGCAGTGAGCTCCCCTGCTGTTGCCTGGCTGCTGCAGTCATGTGTGGAATGAACCAATGAAGAAAGATCTCTTTTACGCTGTCATTCTGCCCATCAAGCGAATAAATAAATCTTTCAAGTGGAAGGGGGATGGACCCTGAAGCTCAAGAGTGTCAAGTGGCATGTGAGTGACGGAGCCGAGACTCAGACCTTGCGGCTGTGCTAGTAGGCCGTGGCTTTTGTGGGAGTCGTTGGAGGAGATTTGGAGGTGTCTCATGACAGTCACAGCAGAGTTCTTCTGATGTCAGTGTTTGGCTTTCTGCCTTGATTCAGCATCTTATTATTTGCCCTTGGACCTCCGTGGTGCTGGGTGGTCACAGACACTCCTCAGGTTGATTTGCATGGCACTGTCTGTCTGTTGCTTCATCAGTGTCTGCGTTGTTCATGAAACCCTGGGGCCGCAGTGGCTGCCGAAGCCGGGCAGGGGGTGGGGGGGCGGCTGTTCCCAAGGCGGACTGCTCAGCTTCCTTGCTGCTTGGTGACTCTGCAGTTTACTTCTGAGGATTTTTATAACTTTCAAAGTTTATTTCCATCAGGCTTTATTACTTTACTGTTGTATGTGGGACACCGCCTCTGTGATCTCCTCAGGTCTGCAACCCCGAGCTGCTGAAGTGCAAACTGATCCCGGGTGAACCAGGCGGGAGGGAGCCGCTCAGCTGGGCTTTGAACACAGTCCCTCACACCTGACACTCTCCTCCACTGGAGAACTTTCCTCTGCTTCTTCAGTGCTTTTGTGTTTAAGTTGGGACCTTGTTGCAACACCTTCTCACGTGCTGTTGAGAAATGAATGTGAAAATTTTTAACAACATTGCAAATCCATTAAATTTATGGTGACAAACATAGCCAGATTACTTTTGGGTTATCCATCTACTTAGCAAATTTACAGTTTCTGTTAATTTTAATTTGTTCTATTACCTGTTTTATATAATAAATATTTCTTAGTCGTGACAGACTCATTGAGTATAGATCCCCTGAAATAGTCTCTCTCAGTAAGCAGAGTTGCAGCTAAAGATTTGTGAATTAATTGGGAAAATTGCAAATCAGGTAGTCAGTGAAATAATTCATTGTCACATCCAATCAATAAACTTGGTAAATCAACTCATTTAATTCAAAAAATGATCTATATAGATCAAGCAACCAATTAAACAATTAGCATACACTTTGCAATTAATTAATTTAAACATCAATCATGTAATTAAAACTCCAAATTTAAGCTCCAGAATTTAGAATTCTACCACTTGGTAAACCGTCAAATCCATGCTTCTGCAGCCGTGAGCCAGCGGTTTGAAGCATTCAGCTCTTGTGCAGAGTGGTTTGGAATGTGAATACTGATTTCAAGATTTTTTTAAACTTTACTTTATCATTGTTAGAAGTGTAGAAAGACAAGCCCAGAGATATCTTTGCTGTGCTGTGTCACTCCCCAAATGCTTGCCAAAGCCAGGAACCTGGACTTCAGTCCTTGAGCTGTCACCTGTCCCCCCACCCCCTGTCCCCCACCTTGGATGCACATTGGTAGGAAAGTGGAATCCAAAGTGGAGCTTGGACCCAAATCCAGGCCCCCAGTATGGGTGCAGACATCCCAGGGGGCATCCCAGCCACAGCAGCACTCCCTCAGCTCTCTGGGTGGGTGCGGTTTCCCACTGTTTCTCCACCTTTAGCCTCCTCCCTGGAGGGCGGGCGGCTGGGGGATCTGGGAGTACTGACAGACCTGCGGCAGCAGTGGGAAGCACCGGGAGTTTGGGAGGGTGTCTGTGTCAGTGTGAAGCCGGGTGTTTGCTTTGCTCTGCTTAGCGTCCATGGTGTTTGGATTCAAGCCTTGCCAAGCAGGCTAGACACTCTGAAGAGAAACGCAAACTTGCTTACCTTGGATACTTGAGAATGAAGGCACAGGTGTTGTCTCAGTTCTGACCATTGCTCGGGGCTGCTGACTCCCCAGGGAACTTTGCCTCCCATATAGCTGCTTCGGATTTGTTTTGTAATGTCTGTTGTATTTACAGTTGTATGATAGTTAGTGTGGTGCTTGCTTCCCCCACCTCAGCCCCACACTGTACTGTAAGCTTCCTGTAGGGCTGATGCTGCATCTCCCCTCTGATCTAAAGGACTCAGTGTCTTGTCCACATCAGGTGCTCAGTAAATGTTAGGACAAATGCCCTTCCTTCCCACTGTCAGATGAAGGTTTGGGAATTCCCACTGTAACCCTGGGCTTGGTGAAGGATGGCGTGTCCTCGGCTTGCTTGTTCTTCCCACACTCTCTGACCTCCTTGTCCCTCTCCTGCCCTGTGGTCACCGCCTTCGTGTTTTCCTTTCAGTGACAACGTCAGTGCCTACTGCCTGCATATTGCCGAGGATGATGGAGAGGTAGACACAGACTTTCCCCCGCTGGACTCCAATGAGCCCATTCATAAGTTTGGCTTCAGCACTTTGGCCCTGGTGGAGAAGTATTCATCTCCTGGTCTGACATCCAAGGAATCACTGTTTGTTCGAATGTGAGTACTCACTCTGTTATTCGTCTTGGTGTCCTGTGTCCTGGTGTCTCGGGTCTGAGTCTTGATTGTGTTCTGAAACTGAAGGACATTTGGTTTCAGGAGAGTCTGGGTGTAGTGGTTACTTCTAGAGACAGCATCAGCTTGGATGGCCTGCTTCTGCACCTACACTGCCTTCAGATTGCTCTTCAGGAAGTGTCTGTCAGGAAGATCCCTGGATGTCATGTCTACAAGCCGGCCTCCGCAGACAGATATGGGAAAGGTTAGAGCCCAGGAAGTAGTCTTCTTTCAGGGTGGGCATTGTGGTCCAGACACAGTTGGTTAACATGCTGCTCGGGAAGCAGACATTCTTTATCAGAATGCCTGGATCCAGTCCCCCTCCACGTCCTGGGTCAGAATGCCTGGATCCAGTCCCCCTCCACGTCCTGGGTCAGAATGCCTGGATCCAGTCCCTCTCCATGTCCTGGGTCAGAATGCCTGGATCCAGTCCCCCTCCATGTCCCGGGTCAGAATGCCTGGATCCAGTCCCCCTCCACGTCCCGGGTCAGAATGCCTGGATCCAGTCCCCCTCCACGTCCCGGGTCAGAATGCCTGGATCCAGTCCCCCTCCACGTCCCGGGTCAGAATGCCTGGATCCAGTCCCCCTCCACGTCCCGGGTCAGAATGCCTGGATCCAGTCCCCCTCCACGTCCCGGGTCAGAATGCCTGGATCCAGTCCCCCTCCACGTCCCGGGTCAGAATGCCTGGATCCAGTCCCCCTCCACGTCCCGGGTCAGAATGCCTGGATCCAGTCCCCCTCCACGTCCCGGGTCAGAATGCCTGGATCCAGTCCCCCTCCACGTCCCGGGTCAGAATGCCTGGATCCAGTCCCCCTCCACGTCCCGGGTCAGAATGCCTGGATCCAGTCCCCCTCCACGTCCCGGGTCAGAATGCCTGGATCCAGTCCCCCTCCACGTCCCGGGTCAGAATGCCTGGATCCAGTCCCCCTCCACGTCTGGGTCAGAATGCCTGGATCCAGTCCCCCTCCACGTCCCGGGTCAGACTGCCTGGATCCAGTCCCACTCAACCTCAGTCCTGCATCCTGCTAATGTGCTTAGGAGGCAACAGATAATGGCTGAGTGCTTGAGTCTCTGTAAAGCATGCAAGAAATGCAGAGGAGTTTTGGATTCCTGGCTTTAGCCTAATCCAGCCCCAGCTGTTGTGGGCAGTTGGGGGATTGAACCAGTAGATGGAAGATCTCTTCTCCTCTCTGCTCCCATCTGAACTGCTAAGCTGGACGCCCACCCCTGTTAAAGATACCTGTTTACTAAACTAATAGTGATACAGTAGTATGAAAGGCTTTACTAATTGGCTTCAGTCAAGCAAAACAATTGCAGATATTTAGGAAATAAACCAATAATCAATACCTCTATCTTATAATTTCTCTGCCTCGAAAGTAAACAAAACTCATGTACTGTACAAATGCTAATCAAAAGAAGTTAAATGGGATATATTTGCCAGCAGTTTATATAGTAAGATCCAGCTGCAGTTAGAGTCCCTCCCGAAGTCTGTCCCTTCAGAGTAGTGCGGAGTTAGAAGGTGTGTGTGACATGGTAACACCTACAGTGTCCCGTGCTGTTGGCTGTGATCTCCGTCCGTGACAGTCCCAGCACTGCTGCTACCACTCCTCTTTGTTGCCTGCACTGACAGTGAAGGAAATGCTAACCATCAGAAGAGAAACAGCTTCTGTACATTGAAGACTCCCGAGCTCCTGAGTTTTCAGCCACAGGGCCCCATTGTGAATGGAGGTTCCAGCATTCAGGCCTGGCACTCTAAACCTGGCTTTTTTTTTTTTTTCTGACAGTTTTAGTTAATTAGGCCACAAAGGTTCAAGGGTTACAGAAAAGTGAGTAAGACTATTATTTCCACACAATTTTTTTCCTCTATCAGGAGTAAAGGAGAAGCCCCACCCAGTCTCCCACCCATCCCAGGTCCCTGATATGGGGCATGCTCTAGGGGGTCTTGCTCAAGTTGTTTTGATAGTTCAGCAGTTCTGAATTGCTGCCAATCTCAACATTCCAAGCATGATGAGGTCGCTGCAGAATCCACTGGTTAACATAGTCCATCTTAGAGTCTTCATTTGCCCTGTTTTTCACTGCCAACATATGGCTGGTAACCCCGGCTTTTAAAAACTGGGCTGCCTTACCAGTCCTGGCCATCTCCCGGGAACAATAGTGTTCCCTTTGGCACCCCCTGCTGCTAGGAGTCAGCAAATTCACCATCCAGAAAAAGGATTGCTTCCCCAGACCTTTCCCCTGTCTCTTTAAAACATACTGCCTTTGTTTGAAATTTGGGCTGCAAATAGGGTTGAGCTGCATCTGATCCTTAAGTGTGTGGGGTCTCTCAACCATTGAGCAAAGAGAGAACGGCAAGATGCCTGGGAGCAAGCCAGGAGTGGCCCAGGCCTCCCCAGGTCACCTCGGCCGTGTCTGGCCATGAGTGCATCAGCAAGGGCTTCCCACCTTTTCGGAAGCACGGAGTAACAACCTCGGTGCATACTCAGAACTGCAGGCTTGCTAAGACCACGCCATCTGATATAACTCCTTTTAATGACGTGTAATTATTTTCTTGTGAATACACACACGTAACTGTTTCTCTCCCAATATACATAGAATTTTGCATTAATTGTACTTAACATTAGAAATATTCTGATGTTTGTTCTTCATTCCTACATCCTGTATTATGTGCCAGAGATCTAGGCAGAGACAATCCCACCCTCCTGGAGATTACTCTTTAGTGGGGCGACATAGTTGTAAAAAATAATTAAAATGCGATAAGCAAAATAAATGAGAAGTTGTGGGGGTAAGAGAAAGCTTATCACAGAATGCTTGGACTATTCCTTGCTTTGGCTTTCCTGAGTAGCTGCTGTGCCATTCACATGTGTCCCTCTCATTCCTGTTATTTCCTAGGAGTTGGAGAAGAGAGAGGCAGTTGAAGCTTCATTAGAATCTCATTTTTATTGACAAAAACCCTTTAAAAAGTGTATCAGTTCATCCTACCAGCAGGATTCTTAAAACTTTTTTCAGTTTTATGAACACTTTTCAAGGTATTGTCATTATGGTTCTTTCCCTTTTTAAAAAATATTTATTTGAAAGGCAGATGTACAGAGAGAGAAGAAAGGGAGAGAGATCTTCCATCTGCTGATTAATTCCCCAAAGGGCCGCAACAACCAGAACTGAGCTGATCCAGAGTCAGGAGCTTCTTTTGGGTCTCTCACACAGGTACAGGGGCCCAAGGACCTAGGCTTTCCCAGGCCACAAGCAGGGAGCTGGATGGGAACTGCACCAGCTGCGACACGATAGCAGATGCCTGTGCTTGAAGGTGGAGAATTAAGCAGTTGAACCAACACACCTGCCCCAGGCTTTTTTTTTTTTAAAGATTTATTTTATTTTTTATTGGAAAGGCAGATATACAGAGAGGAGAGACAGAAAGGAAGATCTTCCGTCTGATGATTCACTCCCCAAGTGACCGCAACGGCCGATGCTATGCCGATCCAGGAGCCAGGAGCTCTTCCGGGTCTTCCACACGGGTGCAGGGTCCCAAAGCTTTGGGCCATCCTCAACTGCTCTCCCGGGCCACAGGCAGGGAGCTGGATGGGAAGCAGGGCCGCCAGGATTAGAACCAGCGCCCATATGGGATCCTGGGCGTGCAAGGCGAGGACCTTAACCACTGCGCCACCTCGCCAGGCCCCAGGCTTTTTGTTTTAAAAGATGTTTGTAATGGCATTTCTGTAGTTTTCACTTTTATTTTTTTATTGTTAATAATTGACCAGAAGAAGATTACTCCTTAAGAATTAAGAAGTGATTATAGCAGTCTTTTGAACTGGAAATACTTTGTAAAGCCAGAGCATTTGAAAGGAGACAGATGCCTTGCTGAAGGCAGGAGCTGAGAGCCTGGAGCCTGGTCTGCACCTTAGCAGGAGACTGGAATCAGGAGCTTGAGTTCAGTGTTACCCAAGCACTTCTTAACGAGGTGCATGTGTCCCACTGTCGGCCCAACGCCCTGCAAGCCAGAGTTTTTCAATGGCTCGGGATTGGGGCGGAGATATTTGTATCTCCCCAGGAGAAGCACCTGACCTGCCAACCCCACCTGCTGCAGAGGAGGAGGCAGAGTGACTGTAAACTTGGTGCTGGGTTTTGGTTTTTTAATACCTCCTGAATCCCTTCTCCCAAACTCACACATATACATCAATCCTTTTTGTGTTTTAAAGTTCAAATGAGTTTATTTGACGTGTCTGGACTGTTTCTGAAAACATGAAGTAAAATGAAATCTTTTTATGTGAACATTTAGAGCAAAAATGTCAGTAATTTTTTTCCTCAGTTGTCTTATGAAATAATAGATTACTGACCATTTACCCTGTGGGTATTTTTTTGTTTGTTTTGACAGTTTCCCATTCACGTGCTTTCTGTTCTGTAATTTACCTTGGAAAAACTCATCCTGCAAATACAGGGCAGAGAGATCTTCCGAATGTGTCTTGAATTTTACAGAAGAAAACCCCAACAAAATAAGTGACGCCATTGCTGTCTCCATTTCCCCTCTCTGATCCTTGCGTCTTTCTCCTAGCAGAGAGAGGGCAGAGTAGCTGGGAAGGCATTGAAATAGGCTTGACTACATGGAGTGAACTAATATTTACCAACAGTCAACCACGCATATGTTGTCTCATTTAATCTTAGATTAGCCGAGTTTTTATTATGATCAGTTAAAAGACCTGGAGACTAAGGCTGAGCTGTGTTTGCTCCAGCTTGGACTTGACCCTGTTTCTAACTCTGAGTCTGGACCCTTTCCAACACTGCGCTTGGAGATGAGGGCAGGGGTTTAGTGATTCAGGCAGGTCCCACTGTTGCAGGGCACACATTCAGCTGCTGTGTGCAGTAGGTGAGAGCACGTTGAGTTCCAGAGGCACACTGCGTGGATGCTCACGCTGACTGGCTGTTGCTGGGGTGCGTGCCTGTGGATGGATTTCT